GTGTGTGTGTGTGTGTGTGTGGAATCAATTTCACGTGTCGCGTGTCGATTGATATAACATAAACATCGAGAATAATAACAAAAGCCGAAGGATGATTTTCGAAATGAAATTTCTATTGTGTTTTTCGAAGAATTTCGAAAGAAACATAAATCATGTTTATGAAATGAAAATTCGTGAAATTTCGCGTATAGAAATCGATAGAGAACGCTTATTTTTCTACGTGGAAAACAAGTGAACTCCCACGCGTACCACTGGAATTGCCAACAAAATGCGTTTCTTTTCTTTCGGTTGGGATACATCGTTCGGCTTTATGTTCCTTCCATTATTTGTTTATTCTACCTTCGAGAGGAACCGACCTAGTTTTCATTCCAGATGGACATACAAACCGGAAAATGGAAAGCGATGGACCTGAATTTTGGAAAAGGACTTTCGTCCGCCCGTGTATTTCTACAAAGGATTTTTATTCTCGTTTACCTTGAATATGTATGTATTTTTATGCGAATCCGGAACGGATAAAAGTTACAGAGTGAGTGCAAAAATTGCGAATATATAACGTCCACTCGAAAAGATTGAATTTGAATCGGGGAAAAAAAGCAGAGTTTCGAAACGGCAGAATTTTTCCTCTTCCCTACTTTTTTCCCTTTCTCTACTTTTGCCTTTATACACGAGATATATTTACGGAGAGGATCCTCGTTGCTACGATAATTGGTAATTCGACTATATAACGCAATTAAAAATACGCATTGTTAAATTAATGCCTTGGATACGCGTTGATTCAGCTCGTTAAAGGCAACACAATTTACGTATATTAGTTCCGCGCAAGCAAGGTAACATTCGCGGCGCAAAAAGCGTTTGCTGTTTTTGCGCTGTTTTCCTAACCAAACAACATCTCTAGACAAAGTTTATGCAAAAGAGTGGAACATTTTATCCGATGCGAACTCGTCGTTTGCCTCTAACTTTGCCACACATTTCAGTTTGCCTAACATTAATATCGCGAACAAATGCACACAACATCGTGACTATCTCCGCTGTTTTTCAACCCAAGAGACTATTACCGGATGGAAGTTACGGCTTTCCGAGTTTGTTACCGTTACAAACTAATTTCTTCAACAACCACTGAAAACTCTTGGAACTCGATATCACCTACACACCACACACCACGCGACACTAACACGAATCACAGTTTTAAAAAAAGGAAAGGAGAAGAACTGTGTCGGCAGATATTTCCTCGTACCACCATCGGAAAGAGAGTGGAGGATTCCTCTTTTTCAAAGTTGACGATAACTTCCGCGAGCAATACTTTCAAGAGCAAGGTGAATCGTTCACCAGCTCGACCTCGACTGGGCGAGATAGGAAGCGGCGGGACAGCCAGTCGAGAAAGTGAAGGAAGTCGTCCCGAATCGTGTAGAGGTTTGTCAACAAGTTACGTACGCTCGTACGTACGTATGTTATGTACGTTCGAAATCGTGGCGCGAATATAAACCGTAGCCAGGGAAAATTGATCGAGTTAGATGGGTATTATTCACGAACGAGGAAGTGCATTGTGAACGGCAATAAATAAAAATCCATAGGAACCTCTAAATTCCACTTTTCCACAAAATATCGAGACTTACGCGAAACGGTAAATACGCGCACCTCGTATGCAAAAATTTTCAAAGATTTATTGCAAAGGGACGTTGAAAATAAGACTTCTTGATATCTTACGGTTTTTCTTTTTTTTTTTTTTTTTTATCGAAATAATTGAAAGTCTCGACACGCGATTGCGTATCGAACGAAATAAATTTGAATTAATTTTATTCCGTTCCATTCCGTTCGTGAATATTAATCACGTTTCTCCTGTTTGAAAAGAAAAAATCGGATATATCTTTGAAAATCTGATCTGTTGATCGATTTCACAAAAGTACGATTATTTAATACGTTACGATACTAACGTTAATTTATAACATTGTAATGGTACATTAACGATGATCGTATTAAGAATAAAAATCGTGCCGAAACAGGACGATTATGGGAGAATGGCGAAACAAAATGACCTCGCACGCCTCTATTTAACGCAACGCAAAAATAGATCGGCTTTTTCCAGCAATATCATTTCCCACAGCAATACCAAATTGCTATTAACGTATTTAATCACGTTACATCGTACGTTTTTCTACAAATCATTCACATGCGCGAAAAATACTGTATGCTATTTATATTCAATACATGCCGAACATTTTCGTGTCATTCCGATAAAATAAACGTTATTGCAAATCGAAACGAGCGGAAAACGCGTGCCGAAGAGCATTTATTTCGATGGGACAAAGTAGATGCATTTCTATACACGCCATTCACAATGTTTCGAAGCATATTTCTCGTCACGAAAGGAGTCAGGATACAGTGTACCATATATGTTTTACAATGACATTACAGGAAATGATAACGGATATGCGCGTTTCCGCATCGAGCGATACAAAAGTTGCGTTAACGTTATTTAATAAAAAAAGAAAAAGAAATAGAAAAAGAAGAAAAATAGGATAATCAATTTTTATATTTAACTTAGAGAATTAATTTACAAGATTGCATTAGAGAATATGTAAAATTTGCTCACGATTCAACTATCATTCCCTAATTATCGCTGCTTCAGCACCACGTGATTAGCAACCTTCCCTATCATTGATCCAACGTATGTTTGCTACGGAGTCATTTAGATTTTAGCAGTAAAAATCTATTAATTTGGCGATCCAGATATAAAAAGATATCTGGCTGAAAATAATCTAAGATTTGACATCCACTGGTCGATATAAATAACTATATTGACTAAACAATTCGGAATAAAATTGTAATGAAACATGCGATTAGATGCGAAGTACGAACAATACTAGCAAAAATCTTTACCCATTTTTAAATCATTTTATCTAATGACCTTTTATATGTCATTTTACTATCTTCCTTATCAACCAATATTCGCGACATTTAGAATAATTGAACTTCTATAATTAGAATCAGAGAACATATAATGAATTTTTAGAACACGCCTTCCAAATGGAATGGAATTTGATTATCACTGTATGAACAGCCTTGGGCACAAAACCAGTTGACAAGCACTCGTGATATATAAATGTAAAATGACTTCACAGATTTATCTATATCTCAAAAATGAAAAAAAAAAAAAAAAATAATATCCACGTAAGATACAAAACGGTTGATTCTGAATGTGATCAAATCTGATGTTCCGTAGACAATACGTCGACCTAATTCCTTTTTAAACAAGTTATCGATACCTTGGAGGATACTAAAAATGTACTTTATCTGGAGGCGCAAAAAAGAAACAAAAGTTGGGCATAAAACCAAGCTACGAGAACTCATTATGATAACTATTGAACACTTATCGATCGTCAAACAATGGAATATGATGTTAGAGGTTACAATAGTCTACTCTGGTAAGCTATCGTTCGAAGATACATATTGAGAGGCAAAAGCGTATTTCTAACACTATAGCTCGATTGGATTTATCGATTTAATCGGATCTAATTCCGCTGATGATTGAAGTGAGCCTAAGCGTGAAACTTTGTATCTTTAACATACTACACAACAGGTATCCCTCGTATGTGAATGCACCTACAGTTCTATTATTATCGTTGCACGTGCCGTTCTATCGGCAGATAACCGTTATATACGTTCGATAGTAGTCTCACATATAATGCTCTATTATATTTATTTGCTTTTTAATAATGCATATTTGCGCACAACACTCATCGAAATTTATATGACAAAAGTACGCGTGCAGGTGTTGTGTAGCCACGCTGTATAATCTTGGTATTGTGTACAATTTCTAAGCGTCCTACACACAATGCCAGACACAATACCGGTTATACATATATTGGACTCAACAAGTCCAAAGAAGTTTGTGTCTACTTTTACTTGCATTATCCGTGCCAAGAAATCTTATATATACATGTATATGTACATATCTACAATTGTTGTTAACTAAAAAAAAATATAAAAAAAAGAAACAAATTAATATAATTAATCAAAAGTAAAATAAATATTAAACTAAAAATAAAATAGCACTTATTTACAGCAATTCAAAAAGTGATTTAATATCTTATATTGTTATTCAAATAACTTACAAACATATCCTCCAAGCAATAATATTCATGCGGATTATCACAGAAAATTAATATAAAATGTGATAAACAATCAGATATCGGTAGCTTTCGTTTTTCCCTAAAAATATTCAGTCCTTTGTTCATCGTCCAACGTGTACATCAAGCACAAGGTTTCCTTAAACAGAAGATTATAACTTGGCTTCTAAGTATACTTCGAATCGACCAGCTTTTCACCTCTAAGGCACTACTGTCCGTTTTGTCTTTTAATAGTTTTTGCTGAAACTTAAAATTTCAACCGTCTCACTGGCAGAATATCGATTATCGTTTCCGATGTAGCGCGATAAGATGAATGATAAAATATCCGATATATAAAAACGAGATAATACGAGGTTGGTTTATTAGTTAACAATTCAATGCAGAATGAAGCCATAAAGATGACTCGTATCGGTTACGATAGAATAGTAGAACTACAAGTGGCAGGAAACACATATAACAACGTTCTTGATAACAGCTGATTACGATGAGCTCGCCCAGACACAATGGTCGTCGTTTAATGAACCACGTTGCACGCTGACATTTCAGTACACGATATATTATTATAAATGCTTCCATTTCCCGCCAAAAATAATAATTCAAAGATAATTCATTTTTTATCTCATTGAATTATTATATATTATTAACAAAATTCTATCACATATTTTATTAGTACTTTCAAGATGTTTCATATAATCATGATACGAACATATCAATCACAATTATTCATTTGGTATAATCGGAGCCATCGATTCGAGAAATAATATGTGCCGGTATATAACAAAAATTATAAAATTCTCAATACCTTCGTTTATGCCAGAGTTGCAGGTTTACGGTATGTACTAAAAATAGCGGTACCCATAAAACTGCTCGGTGAAAATCGCCACGAGACCTCGAAGACGTGGCACATACAATACGCAACCGCGTATGTAACCTATACACTAACAATCTGATCAAAAATCAAAAAATTTTCTTTCCACTAAAAGTCACTGAAGCGAAAAGTAATCATGGGTAGAAAAATTATCGGTCGCGTACGAAAAAATTTCTACAAAACTAGACATTCCGATACTGAGACAATATAAAACATAGATATGAATCGTAGCATAGAACGTATATCGTATTGTTTATTGCGATTAAATATATATTTTATCGAATGAAATGATTCATTTTATCAAATACTTACGATATCTATGCTCCGTGTGACAGAAGACTCGTAACCCGTATCAAGAGGATTCATCTTGAGACGATTGTTTACACGACGCCAACACTTGGATCAATGCAAAATCACCACTTTACCATCGATTCATAATCGTGCATTACTTTTGTATACGGATTTCTCGATGTATCGTTGATTTTCACGCATAAAATCGTGCGATCACGCGTGCCTGCGCTCGCGGTCGATCCTTGGAATCCATGACAGGTACGAGCACGGGTATGGCTACGAACCGCATGCGCCAAAGCAGAAGTTATCACGTTCTACCACCAAAGCAAACGAATAATATGTAGATGAGAAACTAAGCTTCAAATTTAAATTTCTATTTCAAATCCACACCGATTGATTTGTATACACTCGAAACCTTCATTAATCCAATAGATTAAAACTAATTAGGACATGTCCCTTTGCCTCTTTTTTTACCATTAGTATTCATGACAGCATTCAATTTATTGTGCATCAAATCAATTACTTAATCAATTACGAAAAAATATAATCTTTAATTTTAAGGAACAATTTATAAGAATAATTAAATCTATAATTTATTTTCATTATTACGTACCTATTTTTCTTCGTTAAAATATGAAGTAAAAATATCACGACATAATTTTTATTGAAAAATAAGCAAAATTAAATCTTGATATATAATCTTGACTTCCGGTATAAATGTCTATATAAATTTGTAATTATAAACTTCCTATTCAAAAATGTAATTTAAATTGCAACTATTATATAAAAAACCAATTTAAAAAAATATTTATTATACTGTAAAAATTCAAATAACAAGTTAAGAAATATATATTAAATATTAGTACATTAGATTAATTTTAATTTCGATATTAATGAATCATTGCGCATATCCAATCGCGTCGATTTGACTTACATGATTTGACTCTACTTGCAATTTGAATTATATCCGTTAGTTATTTCGCGGATTTTTACAAGTTGCATTATCGAAACGCAATTTATTTCAAAAAAGAAGTTTGAGATGATATCGCAATTCTTGGCCTCCTCACTGCAAAAACAATATGTAATATGGTGAGTTTATACAATTATTAATTATTACAAAAAATTTTTAGTGAAATAAGAAAAATAATAATGAAAAAAATTTCTAACTTTAATATTCTATTACGTCTTATGATTGATTTCTAAATGAATTTATGAATATTTTTATACTTAAAATAAAAATTTTATCAAAAAATGAAAATCATATATGATGATTTCATAAAAAAGAACTACAAAAGTATTATTATTACATTATTTTTAAATATTTTAAAATTCAAAAATGACTATTATAACATTTTTTTACAATCGTATTGTTTTTTTTTTTCATTTTACCATTATATTCGAAAATTCATAATTAATAATATAAAAACTAATTTATAATTAACGACTATATAGAAATCAATCGTTTAAAAATTAATATTATTTATGAAAAATAATAAAATTTTAAATTACATACATACTTTATTATGCATATGAATTTTAACATAGAGAGACAAAATCATTCCTTTACAATGAATCAGGATATTTTCTATTCATTTTCATAAATGACATCAACAAATATTTTCAATAATCTAAACTTCTTGAGCGCATTTTAAATATTGCGATGTTTAAATTTCTTTGTTATAATGATACCAAAGAGGTCATGAATTTTCTTATTTCATAACTTAGATATTTTCTTATTCATTATAAAAAGAATAAAAAAATACAATTAATGTATAAGATATGATGAGATGTGATGTAATACACTTACATTCAAAATTAAAATTTACAATTCGATGAAAATGACAATATTAATTTTCACATAAGTAGGAATTTTACTAAAATTCAGATAGAATAAAATGTTGTACAAAAAATTCTTAAAAAGAACTCACTCATATTACAATAAAATATAATATGTACACGAAAAAATCAGATTACAAAAAACATTGGCACAAAGATTTTCCCCTCTTGGTATCTATCCTTTTTTTTTTTTTTTTTAATCATATATCAGTTAATCTGAGTATTTCAGAAAACTGTTTTATAAATATGCGCTTTAAAGAGATGATTTTGAGAAAATCGTATTTATGCCTTGAGATTACTCATTTACAATTAATGCGATGATACATTAACATCGTGTTTCGTATAGACCACTTCGGCCTATATATCTCACCCATTTTATAACATCATGATCAGAATAATTTAACTTGGATTCAAATACTTTTAAATAACGAACTTTGAATCCAGAAGGTGCAAATGGTACTTCGAAATTCATAGATATTGGTGGTCGCGTCCATCTTTTCTTCGTATCGGTTTCAAGTAAATCAATTTCTGCCGATAGTTGAGTTTCTTTCATACCAGCCATACGTTTAATTTTCCATACAATAGCATTTTCAGATGCTTTATACTTTGCTTTCCCTTTTAAACAAATTAATTGTACTCCAGCAGTATTTAAAGGAGTAGGTACTCTAACTTCAATCTTCTGTCCCAACAAAGAAGGTTTAAAGTTTGATTTTAATACTGCCTTCACTTCCATTTTTGTACGTCCTACTTCTCGTACTAATGGAATAACGCGAAATGGCAATGATATATCCTTAGTGGTACGATATCTATGAAATATTACCAAAAAAAAATATCAAATAATTTACATATTACAATTTTACATATTAATTTCTTTCTACAATATTTCTTTCAAAGAATGTTTACCTCATCAATTCAAATTCCCCATCAGGAGGTATGAAACTAATAGCATGCTCTGTCTCAAATTTACTAAGCTTGACACATTGATGAAATTGGCAATCATCAATTACAACCACAGGTTTTCCAGATCTAGCACCTGTAGGATCATCACCACCACCTCCCAAACCGCTTCCACCTTTCATACCTTTAGCTTCCATAACAATTTTGTCATTGATTCCAAATTTACATTCTGGCATTCCAGATAAATAAGATTTCATCACAACCTATTAGAATAAAAAAATTAGATTAATAAATTTCCTAATACTTCAGCTTTTTCTATTTTTATTTTTAAAATAATAACCTTCCCAGCAACATGTGCACTTAATACTTGTCCTTGAGGACTCATTAAAAGATTGACATATTCAAGTACATCAAGGAATAATTCATTTCGTCTATATTTAATACCCTCTCTTCTCCATCCAATTTGACCAGTTACTTGTGAAGTTATTTGAGCTTGTTCTTCTTTTGTTGCTGATTTAACACCTTGTTGGGTAATAAACGTTTTTAATACTCCAGTGTCACAGTTCTGAGGATATCCAAAATCCAAAATTTCTAGACAATAAATTTAATTACACTTTAGCATAAAATATTCTATTTAGATATAAAATATTCATAAATATGAATACTTATAGGATATGCAATAATACTTACCATCTAATAATTCATAAATTAGCACAAAGTTGTTCTTGATATTTTCCTCAGAAATCTTACCAAAGTATGACTGCATAACATCAATGATTTTTAATAAAAATTCAAAAACCATTGCAGCATTAACATTTTGTTTAGTAACAGCAGCCAACCAGATATTAGCCCGTTTTATATGAAAAAATGATGTTCTGGCAATGTTAGTAACAGGAGACCGTACTTGTTGTCTGGCATGGATAACATTAACACGAAATGCATCAACTGCATTTCGTCCAATGTCATCTCTATATACTCTGGAGATAAGTACTTCTCCCTTATGATTGTACACAAATAAACCCCCTATCATTTTGACAGAGGGTACCTTTTATTACTTCAATTACAATCAACCTATAAATAAGTAATTTATTTGTTATTATTAGATTATAATTTATGTATTGATAAAAAATTAAATTGTAAAAAAATATATAAAATATATACATAAATATATAAAAATGAAAAAAATATACAAAATACCTAAAATAAAATAATTACTCTTATATTTGAATAATGAAATAAATCTTAGGTTTTATTTTTCAACTGATAATAAAATTTAGTAAAGTTTAATAAAGAGATAATAAAATTTAATAAAATATATTATAATTATTAAATTATTATATAAATTGAATTGCTTAAAAAATATGTTTACAAATTATATAAAAGAAAATATATTTAATATTTAACGTATTAGAAATCTTTTTAAATGTAATCTTAACCTATTTAATTTTATAATTTTTAATACAATGATAATTTATAATATAATAGGTACAATATAAAATAAATAAACATGTAAAAAATATTTTAAAATCTATTAAAAAAAAATTACAAAAATCAATGAATGCAAAATATGATAAAAATATTTTTTAAGAATAAAAATATATCATCTGAATATCATAATAATTATTTTTTAAAAAGGTAAAAAATTTAGTTTATTTAAAAATTAATATATATTTTTTATATAGTATAAAAGGATAACGCCCCTTTTCTTAAATGACATTTGAGGTTCTCTAATATGTCTTGTAAACGGTTAGTATTATTGATCGGAAATGAATGACCTACACCATAGGTATTAATATTATCAAGAATTTTTTGAAAATTATAATATACAAATATTTACGAATATGAATTTCAAAATTGTGAAAAATTACTTACGCATGACTTTTAGTGCGTTTAATAAAATAAGAGATGCTAATTTGTATCAGCCTCCGAAACGTACAGTAACAGTACCAACCTTCTGATACAAGTGCGAACTATCAAATGACGAAAGCAACACCCACTTCTTTATACTACGTGTCTCAGAAATATATAATATTACAATATTAAAATGTTATTTTGAAATAACAATTAATTGACGTAAAATATAAGAAATTATTGTTCCTAAATTTAAATTCATCTATCTAATGTTACGTTTAAAAATATCTTAATTATACATTTATAGGACAAATAGGGTTGTTGTATTGATTTTAAAACCGGTAGTTGTACATTTATATGCTTAATCACTATAATAAAAATATTAAAAAAGATATTGAATTATATCTGTAAAAAATTTACTTATCCAACAGTTTCTTTGTATATTCAAAAAATTTTTGGTTATGTTGATTCTATTTTTTTTTTTATTCTTATAGTACAGTCAACAAAATATATGCATTAAATAATTCTATATTTTTATTATATTATTTATTATACAATGTAAAATTTGTATTTATTCCGTTTTATAATTATATATAAATTATATTTTAATCGAATAAAATACAAAGTTCAATAATTTATTTGATAAATATTTAAAACTCTTTTAATAGTCAAAATATAGTATACCAAGTGTTTATATCAACGCTTGCGCGTTGTAATATTTTCGGATACATGTGTACCCAGTATTGCAAAATGATTTGCATATGAAGGAACTGAATATTTCGTTCGTAGTTCTTCTTCTACATAGTACTTCATAGTACAAACAATGAGTGACCAAGATGGAAATAATAATAACCTTACTTTGAGGGAAAATTTAGTAAGTTTCTATCATTCTTTGGGTTATATATACACACACATATATATATATATATATATATATATATATATATATGTATGTATATATGTATATTTATTTAGAGATCCTAATATTTTTCAGAATATCGATAAGTATGAAACCATACATTGATCTATTATATAAGTATTAATATATATATATACATATATTTTAATTCACAAAAATTTTTTAAGGTAAAAACTGCAGTGGAATTTCTACAAAATCCTAAGGTACAAAATAGTCCTATAGGACGTAAACAAGAATTTCTTCAAAGAAAAGGTTTAACTGAAGAAGAGATTAAAAGAGCATTCAAATTAGCTTCTATAGATATAACAATTGATCAAAATGTTAATAATTCAAAGGATTATACCGTGATTCCTATTCCACAAGGTCATATGTATCCGTGCTTTCAACAAATATATCCATGCCAAATAACTATTTTCCAAAGAATAAAAGAATTCTTCAATGCTACTGCCTTAATTGGTGTTACTATATATTGCGTATATTGGTTCTATAAGGTATTATTAAATGTATATGATACAAATGTTATTTTAAAATCATACAAGTTGAACATACTCTATTGTAGAAATTTATTGAACCATTGCTATTTGGCCGGAAAAAGAAAGATAGTATAAAAGATTCAGTCACTGAGTTAGATAAGAGTATTCAAAATTCTATGAAAGAAGTAAAACAATCCATTTCAAAAGTCGAGGAGGATGTACAAAAATTGACACAAAATCAATCTATGGATCCAATGATACCTCAATTGGTACAAGAATTGAAACAAGATTTAGCTAGTCTCAAATCTTTACTTTTATCAAGGTATATATACATATATGTATTTTAATATAATTACATATTGAAACATTAGAATACAATATGTAATCAACAATTTGATAATAACATTTATTGCTATACAAGATGATCATTTTGTTTATACATCATATTCTATTTTATTTTAAATTTATACATTAATCTTAAGATATAATTTTTATACAAAAGTTTATATTTATTCTTTTTATACTGACTCACACACATACAAACATGTATATATTTCAGATTCAATCTCTCAGATATATTTATTTGAAAATACAAAAGTAAAAATTTTTTGAATAAAAGAACTATAAAATATATCAATCAAATTATGATTGATTGACAAAAAAGATATAAAAAACACAGATTCTATATTTTTAATATTCTTGCAAAATTTTGTACTTAGTATTACCAAAGTTCTATAAAATTTGTACATAGAAAGTCAAGGAATTCATAAATATTCGTATATTTACCAAAATTTCAAATTTTAAACAGAAAACAATTTCCAAGTGCACCAACATCAGTGCCAACATCTATATCTATACCAACATGGCAATTAGATGCTGCAGGTACAAGTCAAGAAAAAGCAACTGAACGAGAAGATGATGCTGGAAGTGGAAGTAGCGCTAATAACTCGGATAGTTCTCTAGAAATGATCCGCGAAGATCCACCTAAGGTGTAAAATTAAAATAATTTATAAAAATTCACTTCCATCATAACAGTCTTCGATATATAAAATACTCTGTGATGTCTCGTGAAAGGAATACATGATCATTTGTAATATATATTGAAAATCGATGTTCTTATAATTATTGTATTATCAATTCATTTGTTTTGTTTAATTCTATTTTAACTTTGTACTACAAAATCAGATTAGATATAATTGTTTTATCTAAAAAAAAAAAAACTATTTAAAGCTGATCATAAAGCAAAGAGATACATATAATGCATTATTTTATAAATAATATTAAATTTTCGAAAATGGTAATTGTTACTTAATTTTTTGTTTTCTTATATAGAAAAGTTTATTAAAGGAATTAGTGTTTGTTCCGCATTGATTATTAGCGTCGATGTTCCATCTCTGCTGTTAAAGGCCTCACATATTGTTTAATAATTTTTATGAAAATAAAAAATTAAATACAAAATAAGAATATTTTCTTAATATTATTCATAACGCAAGAAAGTACATTACTATTTAATATTATTAATTACTTAAAATAAATAATCTATTTAAAATACTTAACAATATTATGGGAAAGGTAAAAACCAAAAATACAATTTATCTTTATAAACTAAATATGTACATTTTAATCCATATTTGAATTTAAAAAGACAATCGCGATACATAGAACCATATTTAATTATGGACTATGTTTATACAAATTATTTTGCAATGTATATTTGAAATTAAAAAATTAATATTTTTTCTTAACATATACATATAGTTGCATGTATGTGATAACAGAACATCCATACATGTACATATAGGTTTACTATGTACAGAAAGACATTATTTTTATTGAGTGTAATATAATCCTGCCTTATCCTATATCTATTACCCATGGCTCTTCTTACTTTGGAATAAATTACTATTAATAATATAAATCCATGTGAGCAACTTGTTTGATATATGTCAATAAATAAACAAATGTTCTCAATTATTTATAATTTATTTGAGAACAAAGTATTATTATTTCATTCTTTTGCACATGGGCATATTTTTTTAAATTGAATTTTTATAATTAAGTAAAACTAACATTTATACATGTACATACATAATATACATGTATAAATGCTATGTAAAACGTTTAATCGCTTGATTACATTGTTCATTCACTCAATCATCATTCTGCAACAAATACATTTCCCATCATTGTATAAACCATAATAATTTTCAATAGTATTTTTGAATGATGAAATAAACAAATAAAGTATACAGGTATATGCACAATCTATTTACTGTTACTTCATTCGTATTTCTTTCTGATGTATAACATCGTACATAACATTAAACAATTTCCATTTTTCGAAAAATTTATTGAAATCAAATATCCCTTCTTTATAGTTCATTAATACTTTTTTTTATTATTAGATATATTTAGGATAGCTGCCTCACTGATACAGTGAGTTACAGCAAAGTCCGTTTAAACTGTGACTTAGTATTTTTTTTAGTTTTTTTTTTTTTTTTATACTATACTTTATGTTTAATAATATTATATATAACAGAAATAATTCGTTTAAAAAATATAACACTTTTTTTATCATGTGTGGCAAAATACTTAAAACGTTTTGTATAATATTTTCACTTAGAACAAAATTATTTCAAGTGAAATATACGTATAAATCTATATTAATTTAAAATCTCAATCTTTGGCAAATACATTTTTTCTTTTTTTAAGAAAGCCCACTTTCTCTCTCTCTCTCGATTTGTGTATGTATATGTATTGTGTACGCATACGTATATATATATATATTATTGCGCACACATGAACATAACGAAAATATCAGGACATTTTGTGCTAATGTAAATAGTTTGGTTAAAGGTCCCATTCCCTTTCAGACTTACTCGCTACGTTTTTATTTTCTAACGAGCGTAGAAAATGAGGACAGGGGGTCAGGGATCATCGTCTCATCATTTAGTCAGCATCCTATATCTATTACCAATAACAATAACCCTAGATTAAACACGCTAAACGTTTTGCAGCTCGATCTCTAATAAATCTAGTTTATTACTTAATCCAAACTATGCTACCAAGTATGATGTAAATGTAAATTCCTTGAAAGAACGGACCGTACATCTTGTGTAAAACGAAGGGCATCCAAAACAGGAAGTAAACTCAACAAAGCAGTATCTCCCGCATCGCTAAACCAAGACTTTATTGGTATTGCGTTATCTGCGATAACAGAAAAAAAAAAAATAGATATAAATAATTGTTATCTATAATATATAATTAACACATGAATAAGATTTTAGATCTAAAATATCTAAAAATTAAATATTACTTATAAAATTATAGCTGTCCAATATAACATCCAAGAAAATTTTATTACATATATACATTTTGTTTTTATAATAATTGATATATTTCTAAGTTTAAATAGATGAATTTTAAATTATGATTTTCTTGAATGTTGCAGATAAAAAAATATTGAATATAAAAAATAAAATCTAATCTTTAAACTAGTACCTGATACACAGGAATTATTAAAAAAAATGATTAAAACAGTTGAAATTAGTTGAATATCATTGCCAATTCGGCGTAGTGTCCAGTGCTTATTCAAGTGGAGGAGCATTGGCAATTGAGCATATTTTACATCTATCCATAGGCCTGTATTCAGTGCTTGCTTACAGAACATCAACGCTGATAGCTGCAAATAGATATGTTTTTCAATAAAGTTTATCTCAACTTTTAATTTTATTATTTGTTAATCCAGTCAAACTATATAAAGTTGTAAGTCTAAAAATTAAACGATTTGAAACAAAACTATAATATGTCAATATTTCATGTCATTAATGCAGCATCTTTTATTTAAAATAATTACAAAGACAATAAAAGTAATAAATATACTGAAATCACACATATATTTAAATTTTTATTGATATTAAATTTCACATATTAAATGAATTTCATAAAATTATTTTATAAAATTAATTTATAAAATAAAATCATAATGATTAATTTAATATTGATAACTGAATAGATAAACAAATTTATAAAATAACATATTCTAGAAAGAATTTTGTATTAAAGAAATATTAGATGAAAACTATTGTATTAGATGAAAAATACCAATTTCTGAATTTCTAAAAATTGTGATCAATATGTTTTTAATTAAAATAGACAAACATCAAAATTATAGAGTATTTGAATTCAATTTCTTTATAAACTTAAATTGATTAAAATTTATCTAAAAATAATTTTGAAACATTTATTTAAATTTTTAATTTAGATCAAAATAGGAAATTATTCCACTACACATAATTGTGCTCATGTAAGCAAGTTCTGACTACAGGTTGTAATACATGATATATGATACAACAACAGCAATTTAAAATTATAAAAATATAGTATCATGAATAAGAATATTATATATTAGTATTATATATTATAATATTATATATTATACATAAATTTCTATTTTATTTTTTATTGATTATTTGTACATTTACAATAATTTGTACATAATTATTGTTATATCATACACAAGATTAAAATTAAACAATTTCACAATATATAATTATTTTTAATATATATAAAATAAAATAATTTATCAAATTTAAACAAGCAATTACAATTATAAGAGTAATCAGAAATTAATATCATTAAAATGAGAAAAATAAATGTTATACTTACGAGGATAGGCTCTGTAGGCTCCAGGACTATTATCAAGTATAAAGACTGATGCTAAATCTGAACAAATTGCAGATAAATCTTTAGTATAGGAACCCATTTCTGGTGTACAATGTTGTCTATAATATCTTCTTCTTAATATACCCCTGTTATTATCTAACTTTTCTGCAACAGCTGCACCATAGATTTCCATGGAAGCAGTGAAAACCACTAATTCATACCTTAAAGAAAAAAAAAAAATAAATAGTAATATTTAATATATATAATCAATTATATTAAAAATATCAATTACTCATAATTGATTTAATTTCTTGTTTTTTTTTTTTAATGATAATTTTGAAGTATCATCTAACTTTAATGTTTTCTTATTTATTTTATAATAATTAAACTTACCATTGACTAACAATATCTAAAAAGAAATCTACATGTGGTCTTTTATGGACAAAAAATCTGACAGGATGTCTGTCTATCTTCACTTTAAGAATAAAATCTGGTGGTGTACCAAATCTAACTGTTGGCCTTGCCACTCCATCATGATGAGAATGAATTAATGTTTCATCTAAATCCAATACTAATACTTTCCTTTTAACTATACCTATAATATATTTTAATTATATATAAACAATAATATTTTTTAACACATGCAGCTATTAAAACATAAATAATACTTACTAAGTCTGTGCCTTGATAATGGAGATAATGGGAAGATTTCATATTTAACAGGTTGCATTTGTGATATCTAAAAAATTAATCAATTATAAAATAAAAATTATATATTTAATGTAAAATATAGGTTTTTACATAGAATAATCTTAATAACATAAAATAGGTAACAAAAATAAAAATGTAGAATAAAAGAAATAACCATTAAAAATTCATTTGTTTTGTGATAAACA